CCTGATGTGTCCCACATGAATCCTCATGTCTGTGCTTGTCTGCCTTGCTCAGATCTCAGAACTGATGTCAGAAGTACCACGTGACTTGGAATCACTGTCGAACTCAGGCCTGGTGTACTGTTCAACAGTACACTCAGAATCCCTTGTTACTCAGAAAACTCTGACAGAGGCTGGGGTCACGTGGGCTCCTCTTACACATCTCCACATGTATGGTCACAGAAAGACCCTGATGGGGACTCCATGGCCACCCTTATCCCATTACCAGTGATCCTCCCACACCCAACTTAGGGTACCACTTCCTCCAAAACCTGTGAGGATTTCCTGATGTCTACAACAGGTAAGATCCTCCATGATTGGGAGGCTAGAATACACACACATTTTCAACTTGTGTGATGTGACTCCATGGACCCATCACTGTGGCCATACTACACCATGCACAGTGGTCTGAGCACAATCACTGTTTCCTCCATCTTTCTGGTGATGTGAGACTTTCATGTGACAGACTTTACCTCTCTATGCCCAAGCGCCTTCATCTGTCTTATGGGAGAGTTATACTTGCCCAGAAAGCTACAGTTATCAGTGAGTTTACATGCACAGCACTCCGGCAATGATGCCCGGGCAACCATGAACCCAAGGAGGTAGTAACACCTATAGGGAATCTCCTATAAGTGATGGCAAATGGGACCTTCTTCACAAGTCAGCCTCAGCCATTCAGAGGGTCAGAGTATTTCCATGTTCACAGGTGCTATAAACCCTTACTCTGTTGTGTGGCATGGCCTTGTCTGTCTCCTTTTGAAAACAGGATTCCCCTCTACCACACTATACTTTAGACCCCTCAAAGACTTTTCACAACACTTTAAACACAGTGGGCCCTCACGAAACATTTGTGGGATGAAAATTAATCTGGGAGGTAAACCGGCACCTGAGGCACACACAGCTTTTCAGGGATCCACTGGAGAACATGGGTGGGAGCCCAGGTACAGATTCTTATCATCTGAGAAAGAAAGCACTTGAGAAAACAACACCTTGAATATGGCTGTGACAAACTGAAGGTAATGACAAACTGAAGGTAATTCAGCTGGAGATTCCTGGGCTGGTCACAGAGGGGAGGCTAGACACATATTAGTCTGCTTTAAACGTTCACCACACGGCAGGCAGCAGACTGGAGCTTGCCTTGCTAACTTTCCAGACAGCTTTCATCAAACAGAGTCTGTGAGGACCCAAGTTAAAGACCTTTGACCGAGCTACTCAGAGCCAAAATTCTTGCCTTTTAGGGATTTAACATGGTTACCCTCCAAAGCAGCAATCCACTAGGGAGGGAGAATTAGACAACAGGTGTGGTGATCTGGGTGGAAACTAGGAGACATTCTTTCAATGACTCCAGATTAAGAAACCAGCAAAGAAGGGAAGTGACGGGGTGGGGGGTGGGGGGGGCTGGGAGGGGAGGACTCGGGGATCATTGTGGCCCACTTCTCAGTGGGTCCAGTGCCCAAGGTTGTCTGCATTGCCCATCCATTCTCACTGCCATGGGCTCTGGCTGGCTGTGGGGTTGTTTCTGTCAGGCTGACTAAAATATGTACTACCTCCATATCCAGACACACAAACACAAAATCAAGGCTGTCCTCGTAATGATCATACAGAGAATGGAGTGCCACTAAATCACCAGGGTGAGCCTGACACCAGAACAAACAGGAGATGGGACCATTAGTGGAGAGGCCCCGCACTTCCTGCCGGCACACGATTTGGAAGAAGGCCTCACTCCGGGGCCTGTTTTATTTGTAGAAGCCAGGGTGGTAAATTACAGACCGTCTCAGGCCATTCTGGGCTCTCAGTTTCTCTGCAGCTAGTCCTATTACCACCCATAGGCCACTAAAACCTGCCCACACTCAGAATGATTGATTCTGCTCCAAAGAGACCGGGAAGCATGCCGGAAAGCCCACTTCAAACAAGTCATTAGCTTCTTTATGGATTTGGGGGGAGGGGTCATAAGGAATAGGACCAGGGAGTCCCATCTTCTGAAGAGTAAAGACGGGGTGTTTGAAGAGGGAGGAGGAAATAGGGAAGCAGGAAGGATCTGGGTATGAATCAGCAAAAGAGATCTGAAAAGAACAGGATCCAGGAGCCTCATCGGCAGTGTTATACATACAGGCCAACCAGGAGGCCCTTCGGTTGGGTCCTTATTTGCTAGACTGGACGTGAAGTAAAATGGAGGACCCAGCAGAGAGACCCTCTCCCTGCTTCTCCAGCATTAGATAGAGAGTGTCAACCACCTGGAAGAAAAAAACGTCCAAGGCAAAGGGGAGAGCCTCTCAGACACCCTGACTTGCGTGGGATCACATGTCCCATAGGAGCCCTGATGGAGACCACTGTGGACAGGTGAGATAACACATCAGATGACGGTAACTTTGGCGGGATCGTCAGCCCATAGGCACCAACATGAGAAGCCCGAGTTCTGTAGCTTGGCAAGTTTGGGCTCACCACCTGACCCCCATTTAGCTATTCTGATGCACCACGAAGCAGACAGCTCTGGCCTGGGATGACTGTCTCCCTTAGCCCCTCTCAGGCAAGCAATGAAAGCAAGATCCACTTTGAAAATTCTCCCCCATCATGCAAACTGACATGGGCATGCTTTTCAAAAACCCACAGCCAATCTGTTGATCATTACTTATTTACAAAGGCCTTCAGGCAGAAAGTCCTGTAAAAACCATACTTGATACGGTATACACTAGCTTTTTCTGCTTATGGAAAAAAGTACCCCCAAGGCTACTTCAAACCATCACTTTCTATTGCACATAAAATGTAGCACGTAACACTAAAGTATTTAATATATATGCTATAATATATCTACGGGAAAGGCATTTGTGTAGAAGTATGTTACCCTGGATTTGGTAATTTGATGTTTTGCTGAAGGCTACGACTTAAAAAAGCCTCCACCTCTTACAGGAGACCTGTCATCTTGGTACCCAAGAGCCAACAGAATAAAGAAGTACCCTTAAGCAGCAAAACTCTGACACAGCTTTGAAGCATATGAAAACAGTGTAACTCCTCAGAATTATTATTACTCAAGATCAAAGCAACGAGTCATACTTTACATAGCAAACAGGGACAGGGAATTTGGCTCCCAAGGTTTCACATTTTTCAGATTCCTCTTTATTTATTTATTTGCTTCTCTAAATTTAGGCAAAAGAAAGCACTTGGGCTTTTCTCTCCTTTAAATGGAGAAAACTATTAGCATTAGATAAGCCGATTACCTAAAGGTGAGTAAACAGGACTTGAATGCTAGGCTGACAACTGGCATCATAAAACACAGTTGGTGCATTTTATTCCTTCTCGTAAACTGTAAACATGCATGTAAATCAGTAGAGCCCCAGCAAGGCTGCACAGAGAGGACATAGGACACTGAGGTAAGCCTTTCAGGGGAGCAGAGAGGAGCACGCATGACCATGGAGACAGAGAGAGCCAGGTGGATCTGCTACTGGGAATCCATGTCCCCATCACTGAAAGATAAGTGCCCACCTATGTCCTAGAGTGGTGGACACAGGTGAGGCAGGAATGCAGTGGAGAAGTGGTGAGTGGAAATAACCAATATTACATTTCAGTAAATTAAAGGACAGGGGTCCATGTCCATCAAAGAGGAAAGTCATGTCAGGGAGGCAGGTATTTCCAGAAGAGGAAACATTTAGGATGAGCAGTACAGTTCTGAAATCTCAGTCTCTTTCCTCCCTCTCTCCCCCTCTTCCTCTCTACACATCGCACATGCACGCGTACACGTGCACACACACACACACACACACACACACACACACACACACACACACTCACGGAGAACAGAGGACAATCTCATTCCTCAGAAGGCACCTTCCATCTTTCCTTTTGAGACAGGGTCTCTCACTGACTCAGAACTATCAAGTAGTCCAGGGTGGCTGGCCAGCAAGCCCCAAGAATCCACCTGTCTCCTTTCTCTCCAGTTCTAGGAATACCCACGAGCCTCTGTACCTGGCTCCTCCTCAGTACCTGTGGATTGTGGGCATCAAGCTCAGGTCTTTAAGTTTGTATGGCAAACACTGAACCCTTTGAACCTGTAGGCCCTGAAATCATTCCTTTTCATTAAAGTGTTGGAGAGTCGAGAGGTCTGAGGAAATAGATGGTGGGATTGGGAGACAATCAAAGAGACAAACGTGATACAAGAATAATTTACCCAACCAGGAACTTGTAGAGTTGTACTGAGGCTGTTTTGTTTGCTATTTATTAGATGATATCAGGGTTTAGAAATGGGGGAAGAGGAAGGGATGGAGAGACAGACTGAGGAAGAGAGGAAGGAAAGAAGGAAGGAAGGGAGGGAGGGAGGGAGGGAGAAGAGGAGGATGCAAGCACAACAGTTCCATAATTAATATTGCTTTTAACCTGAGCAGAACTGGATTACTTCTGAACTTTGCTTTGGCAAGCCCGCGGATTATTAAACTTTTCTTTTTTTTCTCAGTCAAAATCAATTAACAGAAATTTGATTTCCATCGACAGGATAAAAGGAAGGTAATCTTCAGGTTCATTTTTGATTGTGATGATACATCTCACATATGGCCTTAAGTACAGAAACCAGTCCTCAGAGGGGCTCCAGCAGAAAGAGTCCTGCCGCAGGCAAACTAACCACAGAGTCCCTCTGATTGGATCCCAGTGTCATTAGTGCCACTGCTGTTTAGTAACTACACACAGACAGGACATGGTGACAGCTACGACTTTAAAGCCTATGTATTTTTCAAACAGCTTTTCAAACTGTTTTTCGTGACAGAATTTTTTTTTCAGCTCTATCATTAACTGCTGACGAGCTGTCAGAATAAATACTCCAGCCTCTAAGAAGCCATCTAACGATCGCTCGCCCCTCCCCCGCGGAGCTGAGTGGCGAAGAAGGTCTGGGCCTGGGCTCAGGCAGGTGGGGAGGCCTGAGAAGGAGCTGGACTGGGCAGGCTGTGGCCATGCCGGGGTGGAGAGGGGGATCTACTTACCTCATCAGCTTCGGGGAGGAGTTGGGTGAGTTCCTCATACCCCCGTTACGTTGTTTTTTTTTGGGTGACAGCGTTGGCGGCTGCTCATCTTCAACTGCAAATACAGGCAGCTTGTGAGATTATGAACAGTTTGAGGATGGACTGCGAAACACAGGCAAGGAATCAAAGGACACACACTCAAGGCTCAGTCACTCACTAGAGAGTCAGGGCTGTCTTTAGAGGCCCAGTGACAAAGACAGAATGCGTTAGTCAGAGAGGCCAGCTGAGAGGAGGTTGAAGCAATATTGCCTTATGCACCAACCCTTGAGCATGCACTGTAAACAGACTAGAACCACCTAGAAATGCCCTGGTGTAAGAAAGAATGAGAAATAGTGATTTATCTACATATAAAAATACATAGCATTATTCTTCAGAGTTAATTTTGGTTAAGAGTTAATACTTTGCTTGCTTGAAATAATCAAATGAGTTTGCTTGTCACCAAAATCAGAAATGGAGTTGTATTTGAGGTAGCAGATTAACAGCCAGCCTGCCGGCTGCTTCTCCAAATGAACCAACGTCACTGGTTCCCAATCCTTGCACCCACAGCAAGAGACTTGAAGAGAGGCAGGGATTCCAGACCTTAGCTGCCCATGTTGCGCTCACATCGTTCACAGGGCTGGTTATGTTAGTGCATGTGGGCTCAAGGGGCCCCAGCCCAGCTCAGCTCTCTTCCTTGCAGCTGCCACCAGGGAGAGCACTTGGGGCTGGAGAAGAGCATGGGAATGAAGGAGGAGGCTGTCACTGAAGGAGACCTCTTAATGATGCGGTGGCGGTGGGTGGGGGGATGGAGGGCAGCAGAAGAGGCCTGGAAACCATAAACTTGCTTTCCAAATGTCTAAACCACACAGATCACTAAGCAATGGGAAGCTTTACTCACAGACAACACAACACACAGCACTCTGCTGCTTCTGCCCAAAGATACCACTAGTAAGCGTTGGAGATGGGTTAGCCTGCACCATGCTTGTTTTGAGAGCACTGCTGGGAAATTCGCAGATACTTGCCCAGCCTGTCACCCAAGGGCATGTGCGACAAAAGTCTAGCCCTGCTCTCCCCAACCCTCACACAGTCCAGGCTAAAACTGTAATGTGGTAACATAGGATCCTCGGATTCTTAGAGTTCACTGCCATAGGACTAAGAGGAAGCAGCCCTGAAACTCACAATGCATGGATGTTACCTTAAAACTAAGAAGAGAAATATTAGTAGTGGCAATGTCGAAAGCAGCTTGGTGTATGTTAATGTGTATGAGCCTTAGGTGGGGGAGCGGCAGCCAGCTCAGCTGCTTGCTACTGTCCAGAAGACCCAAAACAGCATGCACCCTACAGCACTTCCCTGAAAACTCTAAATAAACATAGGCCGGTAGGACACACTGTACTAAAGGGATTCAAACAATCTAACCGACCTCCAAATTTGCTTCAGAATGTCACACTTCTTCTGAGCCTCTGCGCTACTGTCAAGCTTGGGGTTACCTCACTCTGACTGACCCAAGGCAAGGGAAAGATGGTGTGACAAGGTGAGAGGACACCAGATGGAGTCAGGGCCAGAAAAGACCTGTAAAGGCTCACAAGCCCTTCCCTCTCCCACTTGCCCCCTCCTCTACCCCACCCCCTTCTCTCACCCTAGGCCCCCTAAAGGCTGAGACCCTATCAGTCACTTAGTGCTCCAGGCTGGGGGCTACGTGGCTGGGAGGATATCGCATCTTATCAGAAATGAGTATGCACAGCAAATCACACTGAGACTGAACAGCACTTAAAAGATTAAAGGGAATAAACCACATAAATGGTATTGAAAAAAAATCACTTAGAGTTGATATGCATCTCTCAGCCAGCAAACAGGCACTCAAAGTTTGACCTGACTCTATCTTCCTTTCAAAGGACAGGGGGCAGGCATCCAAAGCAATCCAAGGCAGGTTAAAGTGTGAGTGTGTGTACGTGCGTGCACACACATGCCTAAGTATACTTTTACAGTTGCCCACCTTCAGTTGGAGAAGGGAGCCTTGCACTGATTCTTTGCATAATCCAAGGCCACCTTTTAATACAGGCCACTGTTAAACTGCAGCAGGGTGATCTGGATGGTTGCTAGCACACTACTTCCATGAGTTTTTATTTTTGAGTGCATGTTTATTGGGGTTACAAATTGTTCTCCTTTCATAACCTTACAGAAAAACACCCCAAAAGTTCTTTCTTTCATCTGGCCTAGTCAACAAGGGCTAGCTTAACTCAAGACCACTACATGTTACCATGGCTGTGGCCAATTATGGGAAGAGTCTCTATGTGTCCCTTTCACTGGCTTTTCTGCTGGACTCTTTGTTTAACTTTTCCTTCCCCGTTAGCTCTGGGCCTCCACTAAAGCATCCCCTTCGGTTAAGCATCCATTTTCCTTTTACCTAGTCACTGTTGTTTTCTGCCACGACTCTTCAGATGGGAGATCTGCAAGTTAATACGTGTGAGCCAGCCCTGGGGAGACACCTCATTGTGGAAGGAATGGTAGGCCTGCTTCTATGCCAGGCAACTATTTATTTTCATTGCAACTCTGAGAGATCATCCATCATAATCATAGTGCATTTAAACTGGGATTTGTTCACTTCAATGGAACTATGTTCAAAGCTTTATTCGGAGCCTGGAAATCTGCTCCCTGAAGAGCTGGGATGGAAAATGTCCTCAGCTTAAATATATGAATGCTGTGTAATGGAGAACATTACACATGGCTTAGGTCTCACAAGAGGAGCAGGGATAAATTCTCCTTACTAAGTAGGACGTAAAACATATTTAATTATTATCCTTTCTAAGGGTTCCACCAATTTCTGTATATTTAAAGAAAGCAGATCTAGAAAAACTTTTGGCTGAGCTCTAAGGTATAATTCTTGGTTCATGGCTTCTATGACTATGTGAGAGAAATAAAAATGGAATTAAAGGAAAGACTTAAATTTACTCACTTTCATGAAAGACAAACACGTTGAAGTAACAAGCCTCTACCTCATGGGCACATATACTCGCAGGCTTGTATTTTACCTGCTTTCTGGCTAATTGCGATATACCTTCCTAGCATTTCCCCTTGCCTCTGTGTGGAGCGAGCTGCATGAAGACATGTTCCTTTAAAGAAACCTGAGTTACCAGCTTCCTTAAAATACAAACAAGTTCGGGAATCTAATGTGGAATTTTTATAGGAGGCAAACTCTCTCCAGTCTCCAAGTCCTCATAAAATTCAAGGGCTTGTTTTTGCACATCCCTAAGTATAACACTTAATGTTCTGTTGTAACTTCCCAGCGCTCTCTTGTCTAATAGGCCCTGAATCTAACAGTTTTACAGTTTGGGGAGAAGAGTCAGCATTAGAAAAATGTCAGGCCGGTCTAATGAGGCTTCAGATCCCCTGGTTTGCGCCGGAGTTTAATTTAAACTTACAATGATGTTTTAACATGTTTGCGTTTTCTTGACTAAAGAGGATTCATTATTTCAGTGACATAACCTCCAGACAATGCTCTGGGAATTGATTTAAGATGTGGTGGTAATTCCAACAGCCTTAATGCAGAGCTGAACATCTGTAACAACATTTCATTCCACTTTTCATCAGCATTCTGTTTTTAAGCAAGAGCAAAGCAGCATCTTCCAGAAACACTGGCCAGGGGCCTGGGCTTACTTCAAAATGATCACATATTTTACTAGATTGTTTTTTAAAAAGAAATCCCTGCATTTGCATTACTTTCTAAGCTGCAAATATTATGGTGGGGTCTGTCCACCGATGTCTTTTGTAAGGTCCTTGAAATGGGCAATGACTACAATTTTCAGGTTGCCCAAGTAGCCTGATACTTGCATGGGATGAATCCAGCCTTCCTCTTCAGCCTGGGGCATTTCCCTCTTCCCTGTTTTCCTCCTGAGATTTAGGAGGGGGTAGGGGAGGATGAAGCTCAGAGATTTAAAGGTGGGTTTGTTGGCTGGGGTTAAAAAATAGCTCAAAGCAAATAAACTGAGAAAAGTAATAAAAGGCAACAACTCATAAACATGAGTCAAACAGCTATCTCCATTACGTTATTAATCACCACATCTGGAGTAACCCACATCTGCACACACTTAGCAGATCATTAGTAATGTCATATTCACACTGGAGTCACTCAGAAGAAATGGCATGCACAGCGGCTTGAACACAAAGACCTCAAGCTGAAGGGGCTTCCTACTAGAGTCGGGGCACAAGCCACTAGTTGGAGAGTGGGGTCGTTTTACTGATTATCCATTGTTTTTTTTTTATGGCTTTTCTGTTTCAGATTTTGTGGCCCAAACAAGCTAAATGCATGCTGAAAGCCACAGTAGTCCTCTCTCTTCTTCAACTGAGCTTAGTGAAACTCTGAGGGTTACCAGGCAATAATTAAACATTGGGACAAAACCCAGCGCTCCTTCACCTGGCTTGGGCACATGTCGAGAATTGGGAGTTGCATTCTTGTGCGCAAATGGGTCTTTGTGATAGCGTGCTCTAGCTTCAGCCTTGACTGCCGAACAATGAGGAGAGAAGAAAATTGAAATTAATCCCTAGTGAAATTGTTCATCACAAAAGTTACCAACTGGTTTTTAACACTAAATATAGCCATCATTTTGTATTAGAATGGAGGTTTTTCCCTCACGGCTGAAGAGAGGGTCCTTTTCTTCTCTTTCACTCCACTGACTTCCTGAAATACTTTCCGGAGGGGTAGCATCTGAAAATTCAGAAAACAATCTCCTTTGTGTAGAAATCTCCAAACACACATAGAATTCCTCTTCTCCCCTAGGACACACAGACACACACACCAAAACCAGTTTCACAGCAGGATCAGGACTATTAGCTCCTGAGAAGTGCTGGAGAGAATCCTGTTCAACAGTCTTTACATTTCAAGTCTTTATTCTTCATTGTTACTCTACTGCTTCTCATCCCAGACTGTCGGCCTGATCGGGCATCTTGGTTTTGACATCACTGCTTAACTTGATCCAAATCTAAATGCCATGCATCAGACACTCATCAGAAAAAGTAGTATGGGGTTCTGGGTAAAACTCAAAGGTAGAGTACTGGCTTAGCATGTGCCATGCCCTGGGT